ATACGATGTAGATGCTATTTATGCTCTAAGTTAACCATACTTTATTGATGTTTTAAGTGCTAAATGATAACAAAATGCTCTAATTGAGGTTTTTATGCTTTGCAGGAACTACTCCGAGTTAGGAGAAGAATATAGAGTGTTTTGGGGTCAAATATGCAGATACAAGGCCAATCGAGAAGAGCCCAGATGAAAACGAGCAAGAAAAGGTGAAGAAAAACTGGGCAACAGCCCACCGCGACCGCGGTGGGACCGCGGCTGGAACGCGGTGAAAGAAGGCGAAAAATAGAATGTTTGCAAACCACCGCGGTCGTGCCGCGACCGCGGTAGATCTGGAGGAAACCAAGAAGTTTGAGGGCCAAAGTGTAAATCGTGGGAAACTTATCATAACCCTATATAAACTCAACAAACTCGCCCAAGTCAAGGTTAAGCTGGTTTTTAGACTAAATTGGAGGCAAGAACAAGTGTGAGAAGATCAAGACACCATTAGAGTTTTTCAATCTTCTTCTTGTTATCATTATTTGCGAATTATGAATGACTTTATGGTTTATCTTGCTTTACTATGAGTAGCTAAACATTTAATCTAGGGTTGATGGAACCAATTGTTAGATGAAGTTTTGACTCAATTTTGTTATAATCAAGCCAGGTTTATTATATGATTGTTCAACTATGTTTTGTATGGTGATTAATTGAATGGGCCCTTGATTAATCGTGTCTAATTGCCTTGTGTTGCTTGAGAAAGAATACTAGGTTAGACTGTTGTTGAACGACACCACTTTTGGGTAATTGAAGAGATTCATTACTTGAACTTAAAAGTGGAGTTAGAGATAACGAAACTTTGGTGGGATAATTCAGAGCTGCATAAATTATCAGCTAGAGTAGTTCGAGAGAATGCTCTAGTAAATTATCGTAGTTGATCGAGAGATAATAGCGGTAACCCATAGCTCATAATCCTCGTAGAGTATTACGGCGAGATTATAGCAAAAGAGTTAAGAATTAAGCTAGCAATTTGGGAAATCAATACCCTAGATCTTTTTACCATCGAATTATCTTTAATTTAGAATATTGTTAGTTTTAATATCCTTTTACATTAGTTAAACAAATCCCCCTGTTTATTGATAAAAACCTTGCATCTGGAAATTGGTTGAACCTGTATTAGCATCACTAATAGTTGTAATAGATAGGTTAGTTCCCTGAGAATTCGACTCCAGACTTGAAAAAACCGGATTATATTTGCAGCGACCGCTTTGTCTTTTATAAAGCATAGTTGGGCGTGATCATGGAGTCATCCAAGTTGGATAAAAATAATTTGATATTGAGTTTATTGATAAGGCACGATCCAATCAAACTGATATGTTTGTATGAGTTTCTATTTGATAGTTCAATTAATCATCTCAATTGACGTTGCCAAGTACAAAGAAAGTGCCGTCAATTGACGCTGCCGTCAAAGAGATAAAGTATAAATACCAAGGTTCTTAGCGAATTGTCATTTAACTGGAGAGGATATTTCTAATAGATTATTAAATATACTTAACAAAAGATAACAGGTTTTGCAAATAAGACTGGAAGTTTTAAATATATTTCATCCCTTTTAATTTCTAAAATTAATAGTACTCGCTAGTATTATTAAAAGGAAGGATATCTAGCCTAGGAGTATGACAAGCGGCAGCATAGGAGGAAAACATGTAGTAGCTTTGGGACAAAATTAGTTAGTTAGTTAATAATTAATTACTCTTTTTGAATTTGAATTAAAAATAATTAAATATTTATATTAAGAAAATTATTATAAAAAAGACAAAAAAAAACTTCAGTGTAGAGATATAAAACAATAAGACTAATTTAATTTTTGAGATGAAAAAGTTTTTGAATAATAATTCATATGGTCTTGCTATATGTATATGATCACGTAACTAAACCTTATACCCTAAAACAAAAGACAAGAACATAAACAATAATTTCAAAAATAAATAAAAAATATAAAGATATAATTTAAACTCTTATGTAGTAATATTCATAAAAATATTAAACTTTCATATTAAATACAAATGTTAAGGAGAATTTAATTTAATTACTTAGTGAAAATAATATAAAATAATAAATATTACGATTCTTAGTAGATTTAAGACATATAATAAAGAATTTATCTGTTTAACTTTTGAGCTATATTCAATATCATTCATTTAGAAAAATAATACAACAATATTCGTATTATAGATAAACAATAAAATGAAAAAAAATTAAAATATTGTAGAACAAAAATTAATGTAAAAAAAGAAGAATAGATGTAGAGCCCGTTTGGATGAGCTGATTTGAAGTAGCTGATAAATATTAGGTGCTGAAAAGCACTTTTAAGTGCTGAAACTAGTTTAATAAATAAGCAGTTACGTGTTTGGGTACAAGTGCTGAAATTAATAATAAGTTGTTGCAGTATTTGATAAAAAAGTGCTGATAAGCTCTTTTTCTTTTAAAATGACTTAAATAACCTTAGAACTGCTTACACTTATAAGGGCGTAATTTCTTCAAAATTATAGATTCCAGATCGATTCAAATACAAAATATTCTATTTGTCATTTTATTTTAAATACAATTGTGCTTAGATAAGATAATTTTTGTGATAAATATAATTTATTTTATGATAAGCATATAATTATAAGTTATAGTAATAACTAATAAATTTACAAAAGTTTCTCAGTAAAAAAATAAATCTAAATAGGACAAATTATTTGAAGAGAAACACATATTATCTTCATCACCACAACACTTAGAAAGCAATACACCAAAAATTTGATGTGTCCTCATTTATTACATATAGTTCAAAGATTAATACACAGTCACATAAATATAAGTATGCAAAGGAATAGAGAATTTGCTTATCTTAAATAGTCAATGAGAATTGCAGACTTGAAGAGGCGGGGGCAGGGGGAGGGGGGAGGTTTAGGTTGAATACTTGAGGCTGTGAGTATCGATGTAGGAGTTTTTTTCTAAAAAGGAATATTTTAAAGATAAAATAGCAAAAATCTTGGTCAAACTTAAAGTGCTTATAAGCTAAAAATTCATAAGTTGGGGGTAACCAGCTTATGGCTTTTGGCTTATTTTGACTTATAAGCACTTGGCTTATAAGCACTTTTAACTTTACCAAACGCGTAGATAAGCCGAAAAGTGCTTATAAGCTAGTTTGACCAGCTTATAAACTTAGCCAAACACCCTCATAATGTGATTCTATTTACACTTTAAATTTCTTTGATAAAATTAAGTAAACAAATAATACTCGAAAATATTATTCACAAATTTCAATAACAAAATAATTACGAGAAAGTCATATAGGATAAAATCAGGTTAAATTTCAAGAGTAATACAAAATTATATTCGTTGTATTATATTAAACTGGTAGTTTACTAAAAATTCATATAAAATTTCAATAAAATATTAAGTAATGGATAACACGATTAGATAAGCAAGGAAAAATAAATAAATAAATAAAATATAAATTTGTGGGAGAATATAAAAATATAAGACTTTTTGTTAGAATTTTGATAAGAAAAGTCATACATATAAACATAACAAAAATTTATAATAAACAAGTAGTCATAAAGGGAGAATGGTAAAATAAAAAATAAAAAAAAAAGAAATTAAGCAATAGCGAAAAAATATATATACTAATTAATTTCTCATGCAGGAAATTTCACTTATTAAATAGAATTAATTTATCATGTAGAGAATTTCACTTACTAAATTGAACTCATAATTCCATAATGAAAAAAAAGCAAAAATATAAAGATATATATATACATAAGATAAGCATATTATATATATATATATATATATATATATATATATATATATATATATATATATATATATATATATATATATATATAT